TACGGTAATTTATTCATATAGCATAGTCTAGCTGATGGGAAAGTCATACATATTGGGTTATTCTTGTTTGTTATTGCAAGAGTAAGCCTTTTCAGTCATCTTTCACTTTTGGATCAGTTAGTTAATCTTAGGTGAAGCTTTTTCCATGAAAAAGAGGCTTAAGTCATGTTGAAGCAGATGAGTTTGCTAAGAAGTGATGATGCATACATTTCTGCACTGCACCACAGTGGGAGTTTGCCTTTTCCTGACATAGAGGTCAGCAAAACAACAGATTTACTAGACATAGGAAACTGTTTTGCAAAGGGAGGATTGCTTTGTGTTAATCAACTTCCCCCAAACTACTTCTTGCAGATCATCAGTGTTACAATGGCTCTGGAGCAGATTATAGAGGCACCATCAGTGTCACAAAGTCAGGCCACCATTGCCAATATTGGGACTCTCAGCATCCTCATCCCCATCACTTGTCAAGCACAGAGTTTCCAGAACTTGGAGGGGGACACGCATACTGTCGCAATCCTGGAAGCCAGATGGAAGGTCCCTGGTGTTTTACGCAAAACAAAAACGTACGCATGGAACTGTGTGAAGTACCTTCTTGTAGTATGTATTATTTTTCTTCCCTGCTTCTAGAGTGTTTGTAGAAAAAAATAGTTGTAAAGCAAATCAAAGGCCTTTTTGTTGCACCATTTTGTATTAATGCATTGTTTGTTTGCCAACACTGAAGCCAGGGGGATTTACCAGTAAGTGCATGCAATATATGGCCTGTACTGCTGCTGTTCTTGGGTTTGAGGAAAGCAAGACTAATCTTTCAGGTTTGCAGTTTATCTAATGATCTTACCTATCATTTCATGAATGTTTGTCAGCATGTTTGAAAGGAAGGCCCATATCGCTTAGGAGTCCTTGGGCAAGATTATGTAGATTGTACTTGTAATGTACAGGATATAGGTCGCTGTGGTCTAAACCACAAAGCCTCTTGCACTTGCTGATCAGAAGGTTGGCAGCTTGAATCCCCGCAATGGGGTGAGCTCCCGTTGCTCTGTCCCAGCTTCTGCCAACCTAGCACTTCGAAAGCACGCCAGTACAAGTAGATAAATAGGTACCAACCACTGTGATGGGAAGGCGAATGGCATTTCCATGCGCTCTGGTTTCCATCATGGTGTTCTGTTGTGCCAGAAGTGGATTAGTCATGCTGGCCACATGACCCGGAAACCTGTTTGTTGACAAACGCCGGCTCCCTTGGCCTGAAAGCGAGATGAGCGCCACAACCCCATAGTTACCTTTGACTGGTCTTAAGCACCCAGGGGTCCTTTACCTTTAGCTTTTTTACAGGAATCATCTTCAATGTTCCTTGGGCTTGTGCACTCCTTGCTCCTCAATCACAGCTGCAAGGAATGGATTGAGAGCACCTGCGTCCATTTTTAAACTAATTGCAGTTGGTTGCTACATCTGACAAGGGCAATTTTTAGTTTAAGCAACGGTTTATTGAAAAACCAGGCTCAAACTGTGGTTTATGACTGACCAGAGTTGCAGTGCAGATATAATAAGAAACACTGGCCAGTCAAAACTAAGAAGCAGATTTTCCCACTCCCCTCTCTTCAGCAAGTAACAGAGGGGAGGAGAGAGGGCATGGAAGAAAGAAGACCCATTTTTGTAGCATTAAACTATGATTTAACTATGGTTTAACATAATGTGCGAACTAGGTTGTGATTGATAGTTTGCACTATAAACTCTCTTCAGAAAACGTTCTCTGTAGTGTGCCAAATTTCATATCTGAGAGTTTGGGAGCATAGCCTAAAATTTCAACATGCAAATGAATGCTTTGTACATGTGTCAGTAATTCATTATTGTGTCACACTAAATGGTCCTAAAGGACAGAGCTTCACACTCAGCAAAAGGATGCAAGAGTCCTTCCTGGGTGGTACTACTTCAGATGACAGCTGGGAAATTATTATTATTTATTAAATTGATATATTGTCCTTTATCCTAAGATCTTGCGGCAGTTCACAAGATAGAAATACATCATAAAAGCACAAAATAAATAGTTAAAACAAAACAAAGCAAAAATCCCAATGGGATCATGTTGTTGAATACTACTTCTCCCTGATTTATTAATCTTGTATTAATATATTAATTGCTTCCATTTTATTGTTACTGATTTGTTGTTTTTAACTTTGCATTTTTGTCCTGTTGCATTTTCCTGTGAACTGCTTTTATGGTTCTTACATATAAGTAGGCTATAAATATTAAAACTAGACTGTTGCATGACTCTGCTGAACAGATATATTAGTCAAGGTCCTGTTGGTTTTATAGATTTTTCCTAAAGAGCACTTCTTACTTCAGACCTTGAATTAATTTTATTATAATTTAGTTGGAAATTAGTCAGTAAGTGATCCAACTGGAAAGTTACATAGGAGGGCAAAGGCCATATAAAATTTAACTGTGCAAATATATAATTGCTAGTTGAAACATTTGTTTATTTTATCTATGAATATTTGCTGGGGATACTCTGAATTCTGCCTTATTCATTCCAATGTGATTGTCTCTCTGGATATGCTGATGTGAATGAATGAAGCAACTCTTCTGGGAGCATGAATTCTATGTGCATCAGAGCCCTATATCACTGAGCCTCTTGGGCTTGCCGATCAGAAGGTCGGCGGTTCGAATCCCCGCAATGGAGTGAGCTCCCATTGCACTCCTGCCAACCTAGCAGCTCAAAAGCACACCAGTGCAAGTAGATAAATACGTACCGCTGTGGTGGGAAGGTAAATGGCATTTCCGTGCTCTCTGGTTTCCGTCACGGTGTCCTATCGCACCAGAAGTGGTTCAGTCCTGCTAGCCACATGCCCCAGAAAGCTGTCTGTGGACAAACACCAGTTCCCTTGGCCTGAAAGTGAGATGAGCGCCTCAACCCCTTAGTCACCTTTCACTGGACTTAACTGTCCAGGGGTCCTTTACCTTTTTACTTAAGCACTCACCTGAGGCCATAGGCAAGAAGGCAAGTGAGGGGGCTGTCTCTAAGGGACAAAGTAGGCCATGAGGGGAAGAAAGCCCCCTTCTCCGTGCCCAGTGTAGAAATGCAGTGGGCTGATGGGAAAAGGTTGGCTACCCCAAATATACTAGTAAAAAAGTTTGCAGGCTTATAGCAAGGTTGGTGTGCCTTATTAGTAGTGGCCCATATGAGTGGCTGTTGGGCCACACCCTGAAAATGCGGCACCATCTTGGTGTGTTTCCTTGGAAGGAAACCCCAGTGTATTCAGTTGGACCTATTCCCAGGTAAGTGCCATAGGATTGCATCCTTTCCAACAGAAATGCAGTCATATCTTGGATCCCAAACGCCTTGGTACTCAAACGTTTTGGCTCCCAAACGCCACAAACCCGGAAGTGAGTGTTCTGGTTTGTGAACGTTCTTTGGAACCTGAATGTCCCACGGGGCTTCCGCGGCTTCCAATTGGCTGTAGGAATATGCTGCAGCCAATCAGAAGCTGTGCTTTGGTTTCCAAATGTTTTGGAAGTTGAACGGACTTCTGGAACGGATTCCGTTTGACTTCCAAGGTGTGACTGTAAAGCACTGTTATTTGTGTCTTCAGAAAGTTCAGTTCTAGAGAGTTATCTATGCATGACCAGTGAGACCAGTGACCAGTGGTTGGATCCACGAAGCTTGTATTTATTTTGCATATCAACTTCTCCTGGATCGTATTCGCCCCTTATTCTTAGGAATTTGAAATCTGTTGGCAATTAAAGGTAAAGGTACCCCTGCCCGTACGGGCCAGTCTTGCCAGACTCTAGGGTTCTGCGCTCATCTCACTCTATAGGCCGGGAGCCAGTGCTGTCCGCAGACACTTCCGGGTCACGTGGCCAGCGTGACATCGCTGCTCTGGCGAGCCAGAGCCGCACACGGAAACACCGTTTACCTTCCCGCTGGTAAGCGGTCCCTATTTATCTACTTGCGCCTGGGGGTGATTTCGAACTGCTAGGTTGGCAGGCGCTGGGACCGAACGACAGGAGCGCACCCCGCCGCGGGGATTCGAACCGCCGACCTTTCGATCTGCAAGTCCTAGGTGCTGAGGCTTTAACCCACAGCGCCACCTGCGTCCCGTTGGCAATTAATGCAATATTATTATCGGGTTTACCACTGGGTTTCCATGTGCGGGTGCATGTGCTGAAGTTTAATCTTTTGGTGCCGGTTGTGTGCATGCACTTATTTCCATTACGTGCGAATGTTTAAGGCTCCTTCTGAAAATGTGATATTTTTCAAAACCTAAACAGGTCCACGTGACAACAGCAAGATGGGGATCCTCTACATCCTGGTACCCAGCATAGCAATTCCTTTGGTTATTGCCTGCCTTTTCTTCTTGGTGTGTATGTGCAGGAACAAGCAGAAGACATCTGCTACTACTCCGCAGCGTCGCCAGCTGATGGCATCTCCTAGCCAGGATATGGAAATGCCTCTCATTAATCAGCACAAACAGGTACTGTTTAAACAAGAAAAAAAAGACACCAGGTTTTATCCAGTGGTAGCTTTACAGTGACAGGAAGCATCTCCTTGCACAAGGCAAGAAACTTAATTTTTGCCAATCCTCCCCTACCGTCTGCAGCCCTCAATGCTGTATCTTAGACCAGAGATGGGTCCTTAAGGTGGTACAACAGTCCCAGCATGGCCAATTTTCAGTGATGAAGGGAGTTGTAGTTTGACAATATGTAGAGCAGGCTTCATAGGGACGCGGGTGGCGCTGTGGGTTAAACCACAGAGCCTAGGACTTGCCGATCAGTAGGTTGGCGGTTTGAATCCCTGTGACAGGGTGAGCTCCCATTGCTCGGTCCCTGCTCCTGCCAACCTAGCAGTTCAAAAGCACATCAAAGTGCAAGTAGATAAATAGGGACCGCTCCGGCGGGAAGGTAAACGGCGTTTCCGTGTGCTGCTCTGGTTCGCCAGAAGCGGCTTAGTCATGCTGGCCACATGACCCGGAAGCTGTACGCCGGCTCCCTCGGCCAATAAAGCGGGATGAGCGCCGCAACCCCAGTGTCGGCCACGACTGGACCTAATGGTCAGGGGTCCTTTTACCTTTACCTTAGAGCAGGTTTCCTCAACCTCGGCCCTCCAGATGTTTTGAGACTACAATTCCCATCATCCCTGACCACTGGTCCTGCTAGCTAGGGATCATGGGAGTTGTAGGCCAAAAACATCTGGAGGGCCGAGGTTGAGGAAGCATGATCTAGAGGGCTGCAGGTTCCCCAGCTTTTATCCTCCACTGTTCCAGAGGCTCCCTCAAAAATCAGAAGCAGCTTTCTTGGGGACATAACAGGCTAGATTAAGTTGGAAGTGGGATTAGTGAAATTCAAGTTCCCCACCCGTGTGCACGGTAATTTTCAGATAGCACACAACCATCATTGGACTCAAGCCTGTTTCCACAAGCCATTCACATGCCCAGTGAACTGAAAATCTTCAGTTATGAGATATTGAGGTGGAAATGATGCCAGTTCCTGTGACTTTTAGGGTCAGCAAAAAGGCAATTGTGTTAAAAGGTAACACTTTCTAGAACATGAGGAAAATCATAAGCCACTGAGATGATCCTGTTGATCAACGCATGGCACTTTCTTTTACTTGCTGCTTTAAGACTATTGAAATACGCAGACATGAAATATTTTGTCCTGGATGTGAGTTTGTAAAACAAATGAGATCCCTTTGAGTATAAACATAAGCTGAATGTAAACTTTGATCCATAGCTTTCTTCTTGTGAGAACCACCTAATAATTTGCAACATTTTCCTTTGATTTTTTAAATAACTTTTTTATTCAAAATTAAAACAAAACATATTATCCGGAAACATATCATCCTTTCCCCCCCCCCCCATTTTTCCTCCCTCCCTCCACAGAACCCACCCCCCCACCCCCGACTTCCCTCAGTTCCAGTCTTTGATTTCTCTAAAAATGCTGTTTTCTGCATGTTACACAGTTGTATAGATCCTCAAACTATTTAGCTGCTTATTATCAATAAAAAGTTTGTGAATGTTTCTTCAAAAATAAACATTTTCCTTTGATTTAGAATGAAACCATTAAGAGAATGATTTTGGGTATGTTTTATTTTCAGACTAAGCTGAAAGAGATCAGTCTCTCCACGGTGAGGTTCATGGAGGAGCTGGGCGAGGAGAAGTTTGGGAAAGTTTATAAGGGTCACCTGTTTGGTACAACGCCAGGCGAGCAGACGCAGACAGTTGCCATCAAAACCCTCAAGGATAAAGCCGACTTAGCCCTCCGGGAAGAATTTAAACATGAAGCGATGATGAGGTCAAGGTTACAGCACCCAAATATTGTTTGCTTACTGGGAATAGTGACAAAAGAGCAGCCCATCAGTATGATTTTTAGCTACTGTTCCCATAGCGACCTGCATGAGTTTTTGGTTATGAGATCCCCTCATTCTGACGTCGGCAGCACTGATGACGACAAGACCGTGAAGTCCACATTGGAGCCAGCAGATTTTTTCCACATTGTGACTCAGATAGCGGCAGGGATGGAATACCTGTCAAGCCATCACGTCGTCCACAAAGATTTAGCCACTAGAAATGTATTGGTGTTTGACAAACTCAGTGTGAGAATATCCGACTTGGGCCTTTTCAGGGAAGTCTATTCTGCTGACTACTACAAACTCATGGGGAACGCTCCGCTGCCTATACGGTGGATGTCCCCCGAGGCAATCATGTATGGCAAGTTTTCCATTGATTCTGACATCTGGTCCTACGGAGTGGTATTGTGGGAGATCTTCAGCTACGGCCTGCAGCCTTACTGTGGCTATTCCAACCAAGATGTCATCGAAATGATAAGAAACAGGCAGTTTTTGCCGTGTCCCGACGACTGCCCTGCGTGGATGTACTCGCTGATGTTGGAATGTTGGAACGAATTTCCCAACCGAAGGCCAAGATTCAAAGACATCCACAACAGGCTGAGAACCTGGGGGAACTTGTCGAATTACAACAGCTCAGCACAAACGTCTGGGGCGAGCAACACCACACAAACCAGTTCCCTCAGCACAAGCCCCGTTAGCAATGTCAGCAACACTAGGTACGTTGGACCAAAACAGAAAGCTCAAGCTTTCCCCCAGCCACAGTTCATCCCAATGAAAGGACAGATACGGCCGATGGTTCCACCACCTCAACTCTACATTCCCGTCAATGGTTACCAACCGATGCCGGCCTACGGAGCGTATTTGCCCAATTTTTATCCCATGCAGATCCCAATGCACATGGCTCCTCAGCAGATCGCTCCTCAGATGATTCCAAAACCAGGATCCCATCACAGCGGCAGTGGTTCCACAAGCACGGGATACGTGACAACCGCTCCCTCCAATGCCTCGGTGGCGGACAGGGCTGCTCTGCTGTCTGAAGGTGCAGATGATGCTCACGCCGCAGAAGATGTTGCTCAGAGTCTGGTCCAGGAAGAGGAGGAGGAAGAGGGCTCAGTGCCCGAAACAGAATTATTGGGTGATAATGACACTCTTCAGATGGACGAGGCAGAATTCCAGACAGAAGCCTAGAGGTGTTGCCTTACTACAAAGACGAAATGGGGCACGTCTTCAGTCCACTGGGGACTGTTGTCCTTTTGACTTGCATAATCAATGTCCCCCCCCCTTTGGACTTTTACACACACTATAATCCAAAACCACCTGAGAGGCAACAATAATGACATATCATGTTTAAAGGATTTTTCTTTCCGGCAGATGTATGCAAAATATGAAGATTGGGAATTGCTGTTTCTGAATCTAGGGTTGATTGCAGTTTTTTCAGGGAGGCTGCTTTTATAGTATACTGTTGCTGTGCAACAGAAAGTGGAAATGCATTGCACATCATGTATATCTTGAACTCTGATTGTAATTTTTTTTAAAGAATTCTGGTAAAATCAGTAACCAAAAAAAAAAGAGAGAGAGAGTTGGTCAACAATAACACACAGGGTTGTTCTGCATGTGGAAAAGTGCTCAAGGTATAAGGGACACCCTACAAACAGAATCTTTGTCTTTTTGATAGAATTGATTTGCAGGGGGGTTATTCAAATATAGGTAAGAAGAGACAGGTAAGAATATTCTTCCAAATTTGAAATATAGCTGAAGTTCAGGTAAGAAAGCAGAATGACTGGTATATCTTAGTGACTGAGCATTGCACACACACACACACCCCGCTGAAGAAGTGAATTGATTTCCATTATAAAGGAATGGAAGTATAACATGTTTTAGCAGCAAATATATTTTTTCTAACCAGAAGAAGTGACCTGGTAGGCTTTGCACTAACTGAATAAGCCAACCTCCTTTGCCTGTTGTGGTCAAATCTTGATAAAGGGCTCAGAAATACATTAGCACATATTATTGATCGTGTTGATCAATAAGAATTTTAAACTCATTTTGAATTTAGTTAAAAAGGTGCTAGAAAAACACATACCCTCCTTTGTTTTTCTTTTTAAAAAGAACTTTTTTAGAGATTGTAGATCTTTAAAGACCAAAATAAGCAATATTGTATAGAATGTGTGGATACATGTTTGATGCTTTTTTTGTGAGATGAATCATGTACAGACTTTGAAATGTAATTTATGTTTTGTTACATTTTATATGGGTTTTTTATTGTAGCATTTGGATCTTTGAAAAGAATGCCTATATAACTTAACCGTTTACATTATGCTTTGTAATATTTTATTGGGATTGGGATTTGTATGCTTTGATATGTTGATAAATACTGGTCCAAACATTTCATAGCCATACATTTCATACATTCTGTAATATAAATATTCCCTGAATTGTATTATAATGTAGCTACATATACATTGTAGTTCTAGGCTGTAAATCCATCACATGGACTATCTAACAAAGCAGCACATAAATATTTGATTAATTTGTAAGATGTTGTAAAAAGAAAAAAATACACTGTAAATGTGGAAATTCTCATTTCCATTCTGCCATGTTTTACCATAATAAACTGTGCCTTTGGAAAGCACGTTTGGGTTACGTGAAGCGCACCATTGCAATCTGCAGCCTGTCTTAGTAACAGGAACTGCTTAACTGGTTTCCAGTTTATCTCTTGAAATTTGCTATGCACTGGTAGGTAAATGATGAGAAGCTCTCTTGCTTGTTAATATAAATGCGAGTTGGAGAATATCAATAAATCATACAAATAAAAGTGAAGTTTATTTAGTTTATTAAATGCGTTGATGACCTTCGATACTGTAATGCAGTTGAATTTAAGAACTTTCTCTTCCTATGCGCCTGTTTTCTTATTTATGAGCATTGACATGGCGGCACAAAGAGAATTGTATGCCCAGAGTCCAGAATGGGAGACCAATTCATTCATTCATTCATTTTAAATGAATGTTTTGCATCCAAGCAGTGCCCCTCTGCCGACTGAAAATTATCTCATTTGGTGGAGCCTTCCACCAGAGGAATGGGGACTAAGGTGATCTTCAGTGATGATCTTGTGCCACCTTCCATGCTGTTCCGAAGGATCCTTCAAACCTCTGGAACAGATCTGGGTTAGGGATGACAGGAAAGGAGGGGAATGGTTGAAGATCCGTGTTCTGCTGATGGAAAAATCCACTGGGTCAAAGAGCCTTCCATCCATAGAGCACACTAACAGGACACAACCTGAGGACATCTCAATAGCTTTACAATGCAATAAATACACTAGTGGCCAAAATTGTGGAAACCTTTTGGGGAAAGTGTATTTCTGGGGTTTGATTATTCATAACACCACTTTCTGGGGAGTAATAACATAAAATTATGTATCAGTGGAAAGATAACTTAATGAAGAATGTAATGCAACAAAGTGTGTTCAATTATCTGTATTCTATCAAAAGTTATAGCCAAATAACCAGAAAAAGGAAACACAACTTACTTAGGTTGATATGCAGTAGCTTTTCTTCATTTGAATGTAGCCAATGAGCATGAATGTTTAGAGAGCCAATTATGTGTTGTTGTTGTTTAGTCGTTTAATCGTGTCCGACTCTTCATGACCCCATGGACCAGAGCACGGCAGACACTTATGTCTTCCACTGCCTCCCGCAGTTTGGTCAAACTCATGCTGGTAGCTTCAAGAACACTGTCCAACCATCTCGTCTTCTGTCGTCCCCTTCTCCTTGTGCCCTCCATCTTTCCCAACATCAGGGTCTTTTCCAGGGAGTCTTCTCTTCTCATAAGGTGGCCAAAGTATTGGAGCCTCAGCTTGAGGATCTGTCCTTCCAGTGAGCACTCAGGGCTAATTTCCTTCAGAATGGAGAGGTTTGATCTTCTTGCAGTCCATGGGACTCTCAAGAGTCTCCTCCAGCACCATAATTCAAAAGCATCAATTCCTTGGCGATCAGCCTTCTTTATCGTCCAGCTCTCACTTCCATACATCACTACTGGGAAAACCATAGCTTTAACTATACGGACCTTTGTTGGCAAGGTGATGTCTCTGCTTTTTAAGATTCTGTCTAGGTTTGTCATTGTGTTATGAGCCATCAAACCTTGGAAATACACTTTTCCCAAAAGGTTTCCACAATTTTGCCCATCCCATATGCATTGAGATGTTTTCTGAAAATGTTTTGAAGGTGCCTTAGTGCCCACTTCTTTGGTCACTAATGTCTGAATTCTTGACTTATAGGACATTGGTACTTATTGCTGAGCTCTTAACTACACTGTTGGGATAATGGAAACCACTCTTGCCTAACTAGTAGGCTAAGGGAGAGGGAGAGGGGGGGAGGGAGAGGGAGAGAGAAGAGAGAGAGAGAGAGAGAGAGAGAGATGGCTGGCTTGGGGGGGAACTTTTGCCTCCCACCCGTTAAATCCCTCTCCAGCATTCTTAGCCAGCTGCTTCTCTGCACACCCCTCTCATGTCCCTTCTTTGTTTTTCCTTCGCTCCCCACTTAAAATGTGGTTACAAAGCATAGATCAACATGGATCCTCAGGATCTTTGCATTGGGTCACCCCAAATTCACCATCAGATCACATAGCATGTCCATGGCTACAGCCTGCACCAAAAAAATCACGCACCCACTGTTGCCTGGGGCTGCAATGGTGCAAAAACGTGGTTAAAAAGCATGGATCCACATGGATCCTCAGGATCTTTGCATTGGGTCACCCCAAATTCACCATCAGATCACATAGCATGTCCATGGCTACAGCCTGCACCAAAAAATCACGCACCCACTGTTGCCTGGGGCTGCAATGGTGCAAAAACGTAATTCTTACCAGAGAACTCCTTACCCGTTGCATCATCGGTTGACTCCAGCAGTATTTTTTGGCCACCAACCCTTAAACCTTCAGGGGGCCAATAGAGTGCCAACCTTATTTTTGTTGAACTAATCTCAGACACGTATCTAACCAGGAGGAAGAATTTGACTGAAGACATGCTTTCAATATATGTGCTAGATTCCAAAACTGGAAGAAAAATATAGGAGGCAGATAGGAACATTGCCGATCTTACGAATTTTAGATCCCCAGCCGTTGGTGGCATCTCTGTATAACAATGCCCATTGGTCAAAATTCCATCTCTAGCAATTTTGTACACTTCTGATAATTGCTTCTTGTTCCTGTTTAATGTCCTATTTTAGCTACTGAATCCGTAAACAACCTCTTCATTTTATATACATTTATTTGCACAGGAATTTTTAAGGATGAGTTTTGAGTCAAAAAACAAGGTATTGTCTGTCAGGGGTTCAGGAGAGAGACGCAGATGAGGGAGGAGACTGAGAGCGAGGGGGAAGGATCCCAGGGCGACGAGGAAGAAGATGACAATGAGTCGAGGGGTTCCATGAGTCTCTCCAGTGAATCGGAGGATTCCCAAAAGGGAGCGCCCCTGGTCAGGCCAAGGGGAGCCACAGGGGGGAGTAGTCAGGAGCAGGGCAGCAGCAGGGGAACCCCCAGTGGGAGTTGGAGATCGGGACCGGCTTCTCCGCCGGAACGGAGTGAAGGGGGTGGAGTTCCCAGTGTGTCAGACGGAGCAGAGCAGGAAGCAGAGAGGGGAAGGAGATCGGGGCAAGACGTCCTGCCGGAAGGGGCGGAGAGTAGTACCGAGAGCAGTGTAACTGTCAAAAGGAAGGTCAGAAGCAGCGTACGCGCGCCAAGTTCAAATGTGGAGGCGCACGGAAGTGAGGAGAGCCCGGAGGAGGAGCCTGGTCCCAAAGCACGGAGGAGGGGGGAGCAGGCGTCAGAGGATTCAGCCTCTGGGGAATCCCGGAGGGAGGGAACCCAGGGGGGCAGAAAGACCCTGCGGAAAAGGAAGGAGAGGAAGAGGTGGTCCAGCGCAAGCCTCTTAAACTGGTGTAGAGGCGGGACTGATTCAGAAGGGACTTCAGCGGTCTAAGCCTAACAGACGTGGGGTCACACGCCTCGGATGTGGAGCTAACAATGTTCTTCAATAAAAGCTTTTGTACATAAGCTGGACTTGGCGTTGGTCTCTGTGAGCTGGGACCTTGGGTGGCGCTGACATTGTCCATTTTAATTCACTTCTTCATTGCTCCCAATACAGATTTGTTCAATTTCCTTTTCACACAAAAAGTCCAAAAGTAGTTCTCTAATCATTATGATTAATAAAGGTCAGCAATGTATTTTCCTCTAATTGAACGTATCACCTTTGCCTCCAGTAACTTCAACAACCATGTCTCCATATTAAACAATAATAAATATTTCCATCTTTGTCCATATAGGAATCTCTCTGCTGTGATCATATATTGAGATATTATTCAAATATATTGAGATATTATTCCATAGTTCTTGTTATATAGCCATTAATTTGCACCCAGCTCTTCAGTTCCCATTTCCTGTTATGTTTGCCATGGTTTTCCATCCTTATCTTTTAGAAACTCTTCCATTTATGCTTCTACAATTCTTTTCCCAAGTAAAGCACCAGAGATTTGATAGCTTTTTTCCTCTGAGTTCACTCCAAGTTGCCTGATCTCTCTCCATCCACGACAATTTCACTGTTTGGCTGTTTCATTCCAACACAATGAAGGAGAAAAAAGTCCTAAAAATGGTACAGGCTTAGGGCATAAAGTTAAACCACCAGTTCACAGCCAGAATTTAAAAGTAGCTATTGATGTGTGGAAACATCAATCATCAATAGTTTTAAAAAGGAAGGGACATTAGAACTCTAATATGTTAGAAATGGGATACAAGCATTTTCTTGAACAGGCATCTTGATGGAGATGCATATGGTAAGTTCATTAAAGAATTAAAAAACCTAACTAGAAGCTTCATTCTGTTGCAGAAATATTATCCTTCTAATACAATGATGGGGATTGAGTTGGAAATACACGCTCAGCTAATATTTTCTTAATTTGAATGACTTCTGAAATGAATTTTCTGTTTGAAGTGAAACACTGAAAATTGTGTTTGATGCATTAATTTTTGCACTCCACTTTTCAGCTGCCACATGCGTTTCACTGTTGAATAAGAATATCTTACAATTATGTTCATTTAAAGTGATTTAATTCTCAGAAGGCTTGAGGCACTTAGTACTGTTGAATTATCTTTCAAATTACCCTCAGAATTAAACAGATGTAGTATGACAACAGTCTGCCGCTCAACTGTAGCAACAGAATTGGGTAGTAACAGAAAGGCGTTGCCATAATTTGGATTATTAACCTCCCAAAAACTGCCCTAATGGAGGACAGAACTCTATTAACCCTAGTTGCCAGTGGGAGATTTTTAAGTATTATTTTTTTTTAATACACCCTGCATGGAAGAGTGAGGCACAGCAAGTGAAGGTGATATTTTGAAGAACTGCAGTGGTTTCACAATTATCTTTTTTATGCAGTAACCACATGCACAAAATATTATTTCTTAGACTTATGAACAAGCGTCCACAGCATCTGGGGTTTTAGGTACTGTGGCAACCATCAACTTGCAATAATTCAATGGTCCCCCCCCCTTTGGAACTTTACAACACCACTATAATCCAAAACACCTGAGAGGCAACTAATAATGAATATTCATGTTTTTACCAAGGATTTTTCTTTCGGCCAGCATGTTATGCAAAATTTATGAAGATTGGGGGAATTGCCTGTTTACTGAATCTCAGGTTGACTGCAGTTTTTTTCAGGGAGGCGCTTTTATAAATATACTTGTTGCTGCTGCAACAGAAAGTGGAAATGCAATTTGCACATCACTGTATATCTTTGAACTCTGATGTACTTCTTTTTTAAA